GGGAGAACTCCTCGTCCCGCGCGGTGGCCTCGGGGGGCCCCAGGGAGAGAGGGGGCCCGAGAGCGGCCTCTCCCGGAGGCCGAGAGAGCCTCGAGAAAGAACTGCCTCTCTCGGCTGGTGCGAGACATCGATAGGGGCCCTGGGACACAAAAATAGATATACACACAAATAAAAAGATTCCCCATATTTTCCCATATGTTCTGGGTTTTTGTCTTCCCCCCAACCTCCCATATTTTCCCATAGTTTCCTGGGAGTGGAGGGTTCATTGTGTCTGTGTGTTTTCCCCTCCTGAACATCGAGTGGATGGCAGGCCCAGGCTGGATCGAACCGCGAAGTCGGAGCGGCTCCCGAGGGCGACGGCGCCGCCTGGCACCGATGCCTGGAGCTCCTGCAGGGCTGTCGCTGGGAGGACCGCGGCTGCCGCTGAGGGGACAGACGGGTTGGAAGTGGATGCTGAGGTGCAGGGGGCCCCCGATCTCCAAGGGCCAGGCCAGGCAGCGGGTACTGTGGTAAGCCCGCGGGCGCCAAGTGGTCCAAGAGGGGGCCACATGCGAGCCCTAACCCCACCCCCCACGATTTCTGAGGGGGAGGGTGGGGTTCACTTCGCTCGGGAGCTCCCTAACGAAGTGAACCCCACCTGGGGTAGGGTTCGCAGGTGGCCCCCTATCCAAGACAGTCAGACGCCAGTCAAGCAAGCGGTGGGGTGCGGAGGGATCAGGTACACGCAGGGGTGACCCCAGGCAGGAGCGACATGTGGTGTGCGGCTTCAGGGGGGCCGCGGGGCAAGGGGAAGGGGGGGAGGGCAAACCCAAGCGGGCCAGCCGCTGCCGTCGCATCGCAGTCAGCGAAGTGGGGGAACCCACTTCCCTGGTACTGGTTTTCATCCCCAGTCGCTTCGTTGACGGTCCCGAGGCCTGGCGAGGGCCCCCGGAGGCCGAAGACGATGCAAAACCTCCACCTCGGCTTTTTCGAGACGCTGGACGTCTGAGTATGCTGGGCTTCCCCTCGACCCGCCGCGACGGAGGGGCCCCCACCTCCTCGTCGGCCGCGGCGGTCTCGGCCAGCCGCGGGCCTTGGCGAGCGGCAGCTGGACGGCACTGCCCGCTGGGCCCCGTGCCAAGTCGACAGAAGGCCTGCGAAAGAGAGGCCCTCCTGTGGGCAGCGTCCGAGCTCTTGGCACAGGGCATGTGCACGCGCACGAACCGATGGTCGTATGACCGACGGGACTCACGCGAGATGACACGGCGACCTTACGCCGCAGCTTACGCGGGCCGCCAGCGCGGCACGCTACACTGGAGACAAGGGCGCTTACGCACGACCTTGCGCGGGCAGCTTACGCGCCAACGTCGGCGAAGACGACCCCGTTATTTGTTCGTCGCTCATGTGGGCAGCGCCCATGAGATTGGCACAGAGCACGTGCACGCGCACGAGTCGATGGTCCTGTGGCCCGAAGCGCGGCCCGTGCATTCGACAGCATGGCCGTCCCACGAGTCCTCGGCCGACAGCCCGACATGCTCTGGGCGGAGGGCGACATCTTGGCCGACGGCACTTTCCTTGACCGACCCCAGTGGGGTCGAGAAAAGCGGGCCAGGTGGAACGAGGGGGGAGAGATGAGAGAGGGAGGATCAGCGCGTCAGGCCCATGGGCCACACCCGAATCGGACGCACCAGCAGCAATTCACAGCCTCGTGCTGCGACAAGGTGCAGACCGCGCGCTCACCTTTGCGCCCTCACGCGGCCCCCTGGACAAAGGCAGCTCCCCAACCCAGACTTGGCGGCGCGCAGGAAGGGTTAGGTCGGGCATGTCCTCCTACAGGCGGATCTTGGACGAAAATGAATTTGAAAAGAAGACAAATACATGAATATACATATATGTGTGTATATTTATATGTTCCGCAAAAAATTAACCGAAAAAACGTACCCTGACCACTCTTGACTACTTATGAATTTGCACCCTGTAGAGGAACATCAGGGGGTCGGGGCCCCGCGGCTGACCTGAGCAACCCCAAGGGGTCTCAGAAACGGCGCGGCGACAGACCGCGCGGCGACTTCGAAACCCCCCTCAGCGACCTCGCCGCACGCTCCGCGCCACCGCACGGCCTCTGGACCTTTCTGAGGCCCCGGTCGCCGAAACGTCCTCGGAGAGCCACCCGAGTCCCAAAGCCGTGCGGTCACCCAGATCTCCCCGCTGACGCACCAGCCCTTGGGGGCTCGACTGGGTCTAGTGCTTCTCTTTCTGCTCCTCGCCCTGCTCCTCTTCTCTCCTCCGTCCTCCTCCTCCGTCCTCCTCCTCCGTCCTCCTCCGCCCGCCTTTCCGACCCGTCCTCTGCTATCCCTTCCCCCCCTCCCTCTTCCCTTCCCTCCTCCTTCCTCCTCTCCCTCCCCTCCTCCCTCCTCCTCCTGCCCATCCTCCCTCCTCCTCCTCCCTCCCTTCTCCTCCTCCTCCTCCTCCTCCTCCTCCTCCTCCTACCTCTCTCCTCCTCCTCCTCCTCCTCATCCTCCTTCCTCCTCCTCCTCCTCACTCCTCCTCTCCTCCTCCTCCTCCTCTCCTCCCTCCTCCTCCTATCCCCCTCCTCCTCCTCCTCCTCCTCCTCCTCCTCCTCCCTTCTGTTCGCCGCGCGGTCTGGGAACGGCGCGCCATCACCACCACCTCACCGAGGCACCCGCCACAGAACTTCCCCGCTGACGCACCACACCGTGCGGCCACGGCATCGTCTGGGGGCCCTTTCAGAGATCGGCAGCAAGGGCCTCTCCCAGCCTGCAGGCCCCGAGGGGCGCCAGGGGGGGACGCGGCGCGGCAGCCCCGGGGGTCCCTGCCGTCACGGCCCCCCAAGAGGCGCTGGAGAGGCTCGCCTTTCCCAAGACGCCTGGCGAGGTGATGCTCTCGATGCGCGGCTCCGAGCGGTCTCGATCCCTTCCCGTGGGCGAGGTGATGCCCTCGATGCGCGGCTCCGAGAGGTCTCGATCCCTTCCCGTGAAAAGAGAGAATCGCCCCGGATCCGTTCCCGAAGCCCCTGGGGACCGATGGCATGCCTGGGAGGCCGACGTCGAGGAAAGACGCGGGGAAGAACGCCGAGCATCGTCGGGGGTCTGGGCTCTTCACCCCGACAGGCTGGCCCCGCGGGGCCCGCCAGGCCGTGGCGGCCGATGGCAGGCGGCCGGAGCCTTGAACGGCACGTCGGTCATGAGCGTGGCGGCTACGAGGCCGACCAGCGCGCAGGTGTCTGCGCCCGTCTGCGACTCGAGGCACACCCGCTCCCGCACGAGCTCGCCGGTGACCCTGCCGTCGCCGAGGTCGTGGCTGCTGAAGCCGATGCTGACGGTGTCCCGGTTCGCGCGGTACTCGGCCAGCCGGATGTCGTCCTGCACTGCGGCGCCGTTCGCGTTGATGTCCACCGCAGAGCTGGAGGCCTCGGGAGGGTAGCACCGGTGCTCGAGGCAGGTGGCGCTGAGGCACTTCGGGGACGGCAGCACGATCTGCCCGAATCCGGTGTCGAAGGCGACCAGCAGCCTCGGCGGCAAGATCGTAGCGAGGCCAGGTGCGGAAGCGTCTCAGAAGTAGCGCGTGTCATAGCAGGGCGTCGCCATGGGCTGACGAGCAGGGAGAGAGCCGCACGGCAGCAGGAAGAGACAGTCGGAAAGGGTGCTTTCGACACAAAAACGACAGAGAATGGAGGCATGAGGGGTTCCAAGCGGCGACCAAGCAGGCATTAGGAGCCAAGAGCACGATAACGTGGATACGATGGCCAGACCGTCCAGCGCAACACGTCGCAGAAATCCCTGTCGGGGATATGGATGCAAATGCCTGGGACAAGCACGTCGCATAATACAAAACGGCGAAGGCAAAGCGGATGTATGTCACCCGTCGCTGTGACCTTCGATTTCAAGCACATTGCGCGAGGCCCCATCATAAGCCCACTGCGAACTTATGGCAACTTCTGCTTGTGCCTGATGAAGCAAGGCGCAATGCTTGTCCCAAGACTTTCACTTCCCAGAAGGCCCACGTCACCGAACGAGGCACATACAAGGTCCGCGCTTGCAAGAAATCCGCCACCTCCTCCATCAAATCATCATCCTGGCGATCCGCGGTCTCACCCTCTTCCGCCTCCGCTCGACCGCTTCATTACTTCCCCTTCTGCGGTGCGGGCAAGATCAGCAATGAAGCAAACAGGCAGAACCTCCTCTGCGGCTGCCCAACGAGCAACCGGCCCACGTAGAAGCTCCTGGGGTCCCCTCACGTCAACTGCCTCCCACAGCAACTATCGGCGGTTAGGTAATCGCTGCGTGGGCATTTTGTCTTCACCATCGAACTAACTCCCCAGCCTGACTGTTCGCGTGTCACCCGACCAAGTCTGGACGCGAGCCTGTGTGTGGCTCCGACTCGCAAAGAAGGGGGAGGAAGAAGACGCAAAGGAGGGGGACGGGGGAAGAACGAAGAAGGAGAAGGAGAGGATGAGGACGAGGAGGAGGAGGAGGAGGAGGAGGACGAGGAGGAGGCCAAAGCCACGCTACCGAGGCTCCAGGCAGACGAGCCTGGGGCCGCCGAGGCGCCCCCCTCGCAGAAAGCGCCGCGGCGGCTCCGACGGAGGCAGCCGCCCGCCCCGTCGCCCTGCAGGTGTGCCCCCGCCACGGGGGGGGCGCCGCCGGGGGCGTGCGGCGCACGACCCGAGGAGGCCGCGCAGGCCACCGCAGGCTGTGCGCCCGTGTGCCGTCCATTCGCCCCTTCCCCCATTTTTTGTGTGCGCGTAGGGATACGACCGAGGAGCCGATCCTATACTCGGGTCCGTAGGTAGAGGCAAAGGAGGAAGAGGTCAGCTACTCCTTTTTCCTGGGCGGTGCGCAGAGAGCAGCGCACTGTGTATGTTGATGCCAATACCTGAGCCGATACAGCTGCGATATGTGACGATATAATGGGGATATGAGCGGACTTCACACAGAGTTTCGGCCGCCTCGTTTGCTTCTCCCACCTCCTGCATGGTGGTACGATTCGCTTCAGCGGCATCCCCACTCAAAACTCTCTCCGCTAGCGCAGGCGGCGCTTGCCTCGAGGCCGACGCAAAAAATTGCGCCGTCCCGTCCGCCTCTCAGGGGCCCTCGTGCGTGGGCCCCCTCCAGGGGATAGGAAGGCACCAACTATACACCAACACCGATCCTGGCCCAGGATCACCCTGGGCCCAGGATCGGTGTATACGCCCTCCTGCCTTGCGCAAGAAGGCATATACACCGATCCTGGGCCCAGGGTGATCCTGGGCCAGGATCGGTGTTGGTGTATAGTTGGTGCCCTCCGAGGGGAGCCGCGGGTCTCTCCGGGAAGGCGGAGGAGGAGGAGGAGAATGAAACGCTACAGCTGCTCAGCTGAAGTTCGATCAACGTACAAAAAGGAGGAGGAGGAAGAGGAGGAGAAGGAGGAGGAGGAGGAGAAGGAGCAGCACGAGCACGAAGAGCGGGAGGAGGAGCAGGAGGAGGAGGGCCCTCGTGCGCGGCCCCTTCCCGGGGCGCTGGGTCTCTCCCGGGCGGCCTGGGAGGCCGCGAGCGTGCTCGGCGGGGACGCCAGCCACGGCACCTGCCCCCAGGCCTCGGGGGCGGAGGGCGAGGCGGAGCGGGCCGGTGGCGACTCCCTCTCACGGCCCGGTTGCCCGCTGATCCCTCGCCGGCGGCACGCAGAGAGCGGCCCCAGGAGAGAGCGACCTTGCCAGGGCAACAAACAGTGACGCAGACTTTTGGGTCCACGGGCGCTGGGTGGTCCAAGACGGTCAGACGCCGGTCAGCAAGCGGTGGGATGCACCGGAGGCGGCAATGACATAAACACAGGCGCGCCGAGAAGTCTGCGCGGGTCTCCGAGCTCGTCTGCTTGTGTCACTGCTTGCTCCCGACCTCTGGTGCGCGGCTTCAGGGAGCCGCGAGGGGGGGAGGGGACAAGTCAGAGCGCGCAGGCCAGTAGGCAGACACCTGTGGGCCCACGCCAAAAAGCGTGATCTTTTGTGCGCGCGGCTTCAAGGAGCCGCGGGGGTGGGATGGAGGGGCACATCAAGGCGCGCAGGCCAGCGCTGGGGGGGCACCAGTGGGCCCGCCCCAGAGAGCTCTCTGGCGAAGGGCGACTCTCACGCGTGACCGAATTCGGCCGATAGGCGCCCGCTGGGATGACCGCCGCGGTTGCTAAGGGGATGGGGGGTCAGAAGTGGATGCTACTGAGGTGGGATATACCTGGCTTCACCTAGCTTTTGAGTGGGGTGCAAGCGCCCAGAATAGTTCAGAGTCATGAGAGAACTCCGCGAAGTGGGATCTGGCCTCTTGGGCCAGATCTGCATCCGCCCGAAACCACTTAGGGCACTTGCAACTCACTCATACGCCAGGTTCGGCCAGGTATAGCCCACCTTGGCATCCACTTCCAATCCTTCTATTCGAGGTCTCCTAGATGGGGTCGGAGCAGACGGGGTCGAAGGATCAGGCCGCATCGGCGATGCATCGGCGATACATTGGCGATGCACCGGAGATGTCCACGATGCTTTGGCGCCGTCGGCGTGGCGAAAGTCGGGCTCTGCATCGAGCCGTATCGCCGATGCATCGGCGATACAGCGCGAAAGCGCGAACCTCAGACCCCATCTACACCGACCCCATCTAGGAGGCCTAGAATGCCAGGTTCGGCCAGGTATAGCCCACCTTTAGTGGGCCACATGCGAACCCTACCCCTACCCCCGCGACTTCTGGGGGGGAGGGTGGGGTTCACTTCGTTAGGGAGCTCACGAGCGAAGTGAACCCCCACCCTCCCCCTCAGAAATCGTGGGGGGTAGGGGTAGGGCTCGCATGTGGCCCCCTATTGGACCACTTGGCGCCCGCGGGCTTACAAAGTACCCGCTGCCTGGCCTGGCATTTGAAGATCGGGGGCCTTGGAGATCTGGGGGCCCCTACACCTTAGCATCCACTTCCAACCCGTCTGTCCCCTCAGCAGCAGCCGCGGTCATCCCAGCGACAGCCCTGCAGGAGCTCCAGGCATCGGTGCCGGGCGGCGCCGTCGCCCTCGGGAGCGTCTGGGCGGGGTGCTGGGGCCCTGGGTCGGGGATCTACTGACCCGGGTCAATCCAGACCCTCCTCCTCCTCTTCCTCCTTCTCCTCCTCCTCCCCTCCTCCTCCTCCTCCTCCTTCCTCCTCTCCTCCTCCTCCTCCTCCTCCTCCCCTCCTCCTGCTCCTGCTCCTGCTCCTGCTCCCTCCTCCTCCTCCTCCTCCTCCTCCTCCTCCTCCTCCTCCTCCTCCTCCTCCTCCTCCTCCTCCTCCTCCTCCTCCTCCTCCTCCTCCTCATGCTCCTCCCCCTCGCCCTCGCCCTCGTCCACACGCCTCGGTCCAAGTCAGTCAGGCTTTGCAGGATCCTGCAAGTTCCTGTAGGATCCTGCAGGATCCTGCACCCAAGCCCGGGTCAGTGCACCCCTAGCCCTGCAGGATCCCGCAAGAGACCCCGCGCCCTGGCTGACCCCCGCTTGCATGGACCCCCGTCTCTTGAGCCCCGACTGGGGGAGTCGAAGTCCAAGCATGGCGAAAAAAGATGGCCACGCGGGATGCGGTCTGTGATCAACGAACAACACACACTCAAACCTATAGGGAGGAGGAATGAGGAAGGACAAGGCGATGAAAGCGCTGTATGTATGGGTGCGAGTTCCCGGATCCCGAAGGGGATTCCCTTTCGAGCGGGGACCCCCATCCGACAACACGCACCCACAGCCCCCGCCCCCCCGGAATTCAACCCCAGGAATTCTGAGGGACGTATAGGCGTGGGTGTTAGTTGCCAGCTCGTGAGTCTGGAGAGACCCGAAGCCCGAGTCATGCGAGAGACTGCGACGAGGGCGGGCTGAGGAGGCGGGGCGAAGCCGAGATCGGCCTCCAGGGCGGGGGGTCGGCTGCCCACCTGCACCGACGAGCCGTGCAGGCCGCCGAGGGGAAGGGGGGAGGGGAGGAGTGCGGACGAAGGAATGGGAGCGAGGAGGGAGAAACTGGAAAGGCAAGGATGAGGCAGGGAAGGAGGAGGGAGACAGAATAGGTAATTACGAGGGGCGGAGGAGGAGGACGAGGAGGAGGAGGAGGAGGAGGAGGAGGAGGAGGAGGAGGAGGAGGAGGAGGAGGAGGGAGGGAGGGAGGGAGGGAGGGAGGGAGGGAGGGAGGGAAGGAGAAGGAGGATGAGGGGGAGGAGGAGCAGGAAGAGGAGGAGGAGGAGGAGGAGGAGGAGGAGGAGGAGAAAGAGGAGAAGGAGGAGGAGGAGGAGGAGGAGGAGGAGGAGGAGGAGGGGGAGGGGGAGGAGGAGGAGGAGAGGAGGAGGAGGAGGAGGAGGAGGAGGAGGAGGAGGAGGAGGAGGAGAAGAAAGAGGAGGAGGAGGAGGAGGAGGAGGAGGAGAAAGAGGAGGAGGAGGAGGAGGAGGAGGAGGAGGAGGAGGAGGGCGAGATGAGATAGCGGGAGACGAGGACGAGACGGGCCCGGGGCCCCTCCTGGGGCGCGGCCTGGCCAGGAGGTGACCTCGAGACAAGCCCAGCTGTGGCCACGATAGCGCAGCGGGAAGACCAGCGAAGCCAAAAAACGCCGGCAGCAACAAAAGCTCAAGCACCGATCCTCGATCCACGATCGATCGGGTTGGACGAAAGGAGGTGGAGGGGAAGAAAACAGGAACCATGCCCAAGACTGAACGCGGAAACTTCGTTCCAATCTTGGTCACAGTCGATCTTGCTCAGCGTCAATGCGTTGATCATCATCCCGAATCGGCAACGGCCGACATGGACCATGACCAAGATCGGCATCGACAACATCACGCGGCATCGTGGCCATGGTCCCCGTGTTTCTTCCCTCGAGGAGGGGCCAGTACAGGGGGGGTGACAAATCAGCCCACGTAGCCGGTTCTCCCAGCGCCTCCCAGAGCCGGAGGCGCCCATGCATCCAGGAACCGCCCAGAGGTAGGCTGCATGCAGCAGATTTCGCGACCGACACTTTTCCTATCCCCCTCCCCACGGACCCTCGACGTCATGATTTTGTCATGACGCCGACCCCTGGAGGTCTCGACCCATTCCCCGAGACAAGTTCTTCATCCCGAGTCGTTGCTTGACGGTCCCGAGGCCCAATAAGGGCCCCCAGGGGCCGAAAATAGCAGGAACAAAAAAAAAACGCCCGCCGTGATTTCGTTACAACTCGAGGGGGCCTGGGCCTGTCAGGGCAGGACCTAAACGTTGTTCTTCGCTTTGTTTTCTCGCTTTGCCCTCCTGTACCTCCCTCCCAGAACGAGAAACAGAACACGGGCGAAGTCCAGCCAAACAGCGTTTAGGGCCAGCCCTGGGGGCTGTCGCCCGACCACGAGGGGTGTCTGGGGCCTGCCGTCCGGCCCGTAGGGCGGCGCGCTCCTGTCGGTGCTGTGGCCATCCTGGCCGGGCGCGGCCGAGGAGTTCTCCGCCCCGCGCATCCTGCCCGGGGGGAGCGGCCACCGCGGGCGGCACGGAGGGGCGGGGCGGGGAGGAGGGGGGGGGAGGAGGGGGGGGAGGGGGAAGGAGGGGGGAGGAGAGGGAGGGAGGGGGGAGGAGACGGCAGCAGGGGGAGGAACGAAAAGGAGGAGAAAGGAGGAGGAGGAATGGAGGAAGGGAGGGAGGGGAGGGGAGGAGGAGGAGGAGGACGAGGAGGAGGAGGCACAGGAGGAGGAGGAGGCAGAGGCAGAGGCAGAGGCAGAGGCAGAGGCGGAGGAGGAGGAGGAGGAGGAGGAGGAGGAGGAGGAGGAGGAGGAGAAGGAGGAGGAGGAGGAGGAGGAGGAGGAGGAGGAGGAGGGGGGGGGGAGGAGGGGGGGAGGAGGAGTGGGAGGGGGGGAAGGAAAAGGGAGAGGAGGAGCTGGAGGAACTTGCCGCCGTATTGCCGCTGCTGCCGCGGCCAGCGATAGACACGGGGAGAGGGCGGGGAGGCGGCGGGGCGAAGACAAGATCGGCCTACGGGAGCCGTGCAGGCCAGTGAGGGAAGGGGGGAAGCGCGAAGGGGAGGAGCTCGGGCGGAGGAGTGGGAGCGAAGAGGCAAAAACTGGAAAGGCAATGATGAGGCAGGAAAGGAGGAGGGAGAAGGAATAGGTGATTACGAGGGGAGGGGGAGGGGGAGAAGGAGGAGGAGGAGGAGGAGGAGGAGGAGGAGGAGGAGGAGGAGGAGGAGGAGGAGGAGGAGGAGGAGGAGGAGGAGGAGGAGGAGGAGGAGGAGGAGAGGAGGAGGAGGAGGAGGAGTGGCCCCATGGTGAGCTGCACCGAAGTCCCCAGTGGCGGTGTCCACATGCGTCCGCGCCGTCCAATTCGCACACCCCTCACACGCTTCGTGGCCCCATGGGGAGTTCCACCGAAGGCCCCAATGGCAGTGTCCACATGCGTCCGCGCCGTCCAATTCGGCACACCCCTCACACGCTTCGTTTCCCCATAGGGAGTTCCACCGAAGGCCCCAATGGCAGTGTCCACATGCGTCCGCGCCACCCGTCTCGGCGCACCTCTCACACGCATCCTGGCCCGAGGGGGAGCTGCACCGAAAACCCCAGTGGCGGTGTCCACATGCGTCCGCGCCGCCCAATTCGGCACACCCCTCAAACGCTTCGCGGCCCCATAAGGAGCTCCACAGAAGGCCCCAGTGGCGGTGTCCATATGCGTCCGCGCCACCCATGTCGACACACCCCTCACACGTTTCGTGGCCCCATAGGGAGCCCGACCGGAGGCCACAGTGGGTGTGTCCACATGCGTCCACGCCGTCCGATTCGGCACACCCCTCACACGCTTCGTGGCCCCATAGGGAGTTCCACCGAAGGCCTCGATGGCGGTGTCCACATGCGTCCGCGCCACCCATGTCGGCACACCCCTCACACGGTTCGTGGCCCCATAGGGAGCCCCACCGAAGAATAGATGCATCATTGCGGTACACACAAATGCGTATTTGGGGGGTTCTTCGCCAGGATGATATTGTCAGCGGCGAAGGCGGACGCCAACGCGTTCGGTCAGCCGGCGGGCCGCGCTGGGCAGAGGCACACCAGACAAGTGGAAAAGAAGAGGGCGGCCGCGGCGGGGAAACGCGTCTGTGTACCTAGCGTCACTTCCAAGGCATATTTCTTGATATCACGATGTCTTGAGCAGTTTGCTGCGTGCTTGAGCCAGGCTGTGTACTGCATTTGTTTGCGGAGCGCGAGCAAAAGGAGACGGGCAGGTGAAGGCGTGCAGTTGCAGGTAGAATTCCTCTGTCTTCTTCTCAGAGGGAAGCCTCAGGCGCCGGCAGGCGTGCGCAGGCGGCCTCGGACACCGAGAACCGGCGCACGGGCAGGCGAGCGGCCAGGGCAACACCTGCCAAGGCCGAGGGCAGCGCAGGTCCCACCGCCTGGGCATACACTTTTTGCATCGGCGGCTCGGCAGGGGGGCTGCGCTGGCGAGTACAGCAAAACGGGGCGCGTTAGGCGAATGCAGCCACCATGCAGAGGGAGGGAGGAGAACGACAAGGCGCCGGCCCAGGAGGGATACCAAGAGGAGCCGGGACCGCTCACAGCAGCCCAGGCGCGCCTCTCGCCGCGGAAAGCAATCCCTTGCAAGGCGAGCACTTTCTGGGGTCTGCCAGTCAGGCGAGAAACCCATGTGCTGAAGATCCTCATAGCCATGGAGAGCGCGAAGCTGTAGTCATGAAGCGTCAGGAGGTGTCCAGTGAAACGCACCTTCTGAGAATGAGGCGCCCCCCCGTTGTGTCATACACCTTGGGAAGTCTCCAGCAAGTGCCCCGTTTGAAAATCAGCCGCCATCCAGTCGCGCAACGGTTGCACAATGCTACAGCTCGGGCCATGCATGTTGAAGAAAACTCGCGCGAGAGCTCCATTCTGAAGGGGAATCACCATTTATCCCTATCCTTGTAGCATGTGTGGAAAAGTTCAGGACGAATGCGCGCGGCGCTGCGGCAAGAGCCACGTGCTGACAACGTGTTGTCATCCATCCTTGTAACATTCGGACACGTATGCAGTGATCGCGCTGCCATGCGGAACGATAGCTGTTTTGATACGATTCGGAAGGAGTTTGCTGGTCGCGGTGGACCGCGGCCACGAACTGGCTTCCCGGCACAAACCTAGATCTGTAGAGCGGCTCGAAAACCAGAGCCGCTCCTGAGCCCAGAGAAGCGCTTCTGTCGGCGTCCTGACTGTAGAAGCTGCATGCGCGGCGCCAAGGCGAGGGCCACACCTTCAGGACCATCAGCCGTCCGTCCCCACAGCTGCTGGAAACTGTTGGGATTAGGTCGGATATGTCCCCCTACAGGCGGATTTCGGAAAAGAAAATCAAAAAATGCCCAAACACGATCCAAAAATAATCGAAAAGTCATCTCCGGACTATTGGTTGGCTATTCTTGAATGTTCCTCCTGTAGAGAAACATGCCCGACTCAGCCCTACGCTGGAGACTGCTGGGATGAACATGCCGCGGCCCCCAGGGGGCGGGGGCCACCTTCTGAAAACCCACCCGACCTCCTCCCTCCTGCTCTCCTCCTCTCCCCTGCTCTGCTCCTCTCCTCTGCTCTTCTCCTCTTCCCTGCTCTCCTCATCTCCCCTGCTCTCCTTCTCTCCCTTGCTCCCTCCTCTTCCCTGCGCTGCTCATCTCCTCTGCTCTCCTCAGCTTCTCTGCTCTCCGACCGTGCCGCTTCTGGACATTCCATAGCCTGGTCTTACCTGCGCTTAACAGGGGGTCTCGGGTCAGCCGCGCCCGTCGCTTCCCTTCTTCCGTGCCCTGAAGAAGAAAAGGAGGGGGGAATGGGGGGAGAAGGATGAGGAGGAGTGAAGAGGATCGGGGGTATCGGGTCAGCGCGCCCATCGCTTCCACTTCGGGGTCCCGCGAGGAGGAAGGTGGTGGAGGAGGAGGAGGAGTGCGAGGAGGATGAGGACGGGGAGGATAAGGAAAAGGAGGAGGAGGAGGAATCCTGTCATCGATCCCAGGATAGGATTGGTGGAAAAGCTCCCTGATCACCAGGTGAGTCCACATGATGATGATGACGATGATTATGATGACGACGCGAGTGATGATGTGCTACGCAATGTCATAAACAATTGCATGCATATATACATCATAACCACCATGACCATCATCTCATCGGTGCCTCGGCCCCGCAAGGCGCGGCGCGGATCATATGTGTGCATCTGAACATATACATAAACCGATGCCAATATTCATACATACCAGTCACCAACGATGAACGAGCCCCGCACGCAACCTCGCCCCGAAGTGATCCAAAAACGATAGCCCCAGTTGCGGAGTCTCGTATTGCTTCCCGCCTCAATCCAGCACGCCCCTCACACGTCGTTCGCTCCATAGGGGGGCTCCAATTATGGTCTCAATGAGTAGCTCACATGGCGTCTTCTCCGCCTCAATTCGGCACACCTTCACGCGTCTCTTGCCCCTATCCAGGTGGGGGATGCCGTATGGCGCCCCCGCCACCATTCGGCGCACTCCTCACACGTACCGCGACCCATAGGGATCGAAATTTCATTTACAGCTCCACTAGGGTTGCGCGCATGGCGTCCCCGCCTCAATCCCCCCATTACACGTTTCGTGCCCCATAAAAGGAATACCAACTATGGCCCCCATGGCGTGGCGCGCACGCGGTCCCGGCCTCAATTCGACACTCCCTCACGCGCTTCGTGCCATCTACGGGGCTCCAACTACAGCCCCGATGGGGGAGCTGGCATGGCGTCCCCCCGAAATGGTTTAACGACGCCCCTCGCCCGTAAAGTGCCCCTAAGGGAGGCTTACCTACGGCCCCATTTGGGGGCTCTCATGACGTCCCCACCCCAACCACTCACACACAGATAGGCGCCCAGTACGGCGCAATTGGGGGAGGTCGCATTGCGTCCAGGCTCATTCGCATACTTCGCACGGGTCGTGCAATGTAGGGAACTACGGCCCGAGTGTGGTTGCGCGCATGTAGTCCCCGCTTCAATTCGGCATACCCCTCGCCCTGATCGCGCCCCACAAGGGGCTCCAGCTACGGCCTGAAGTGGTGCCGCAGGCATGCGGTCCTCGCCTCAAGTCGCCACACACGTCACATGGGCCCTAATTATAGCCCCAATTGAGGAGCGCGCGTGGCGTCCCCGCCTCATCTCGGCGAACCTCTCACACGTCTCGTATGGCCAAAGTGGGTGAGCTTCCATGGCGTCCAGAGTCCCCGCGTCAAATCGGCACACTTGCACGCGTTTGGCGCGCCATGTGGCTCTTCACTTACAGCTCCAGTGGTGCTTCTTTTGTGTGCACGGCGTCCCCGCGTCGATTCGACGCACATCTTATGCGCTTCGTGCCCCATAGGGGACCTCACTACGGGAAAGTTAGTGAGCTGGCATGACGCCATGCCTCAATCCAGATTCAATGTTCCCCATACCGCCTCGCCAAGATATGAAGAGAGGGCCATCCTTGCGGCGCGCGCAACTGCTGGGCACTT